TAGGACTTGTTTATGCAAAATTTCAGCGCTATACTCGTATTTTAAATAAGGAACACTCGTAGTTATTAACCAAAACTCTTTCCTGAAGGGAACCTTTTGTATATTACCAACACATTCCGCATGAAATTCGGACGAATTTCATAACCGTATTTCATAACTTATATTTTTAAGCCAGTAATGATCGTTTAAGTAATTTTCTGAAAATTAAATTATGGACCGATCCTCCCTAAATTTGGTGGAGAGATTTTGGCACGCATTAAACTTATGTGCGTCAATTTTCGTCACATTCATATTTTTAAGCCAGTAATGAGCATTGTAGTTATTTGCAGAGGGGGACCTTATATGGGGGAAGGGTCATTTATGGGCCGATCCAAAAAAATTGGTACAGAGGTTTTGGCTCGTAAGAAACTTACGTGTGTAGCATTTCATCGCTTTACTCGTATTTTTAAGACAGTAATGAGCGTTTAAGCTATTTCCTGAAGTGGACCCAATAGGGAGAGTAGGGCCAATTATGGACCTATCCACATAAAAGTTATTAAAAAGATTTTGGCTCGCGAGGAACTTAATTGTGTAAAATTTTATTGCTATATTCATATTTTTTAGCCAGTAATGATCGCTAAAGTCATTTTCAGAAGGGGACCTTATATGGGGGATAGCATCATTTATTTATTCGTAAGAAACTTACTTATACCGAATTTCATCGCTATACTCGCATTTTTGGACCAGTAATGAGTGTTAAAGTAATTTTCTAAAGGGGACCTTATATAGGGGGTAGGGTCAATTATGGACCGATCCTGAAAAAATTTGGTAGAAAAATTTTGGCTCACATGAAACTTATTTATGTCGAATTTCATCGCTATACTTGCATTTTAGGGCCAGTAATGAGTGCTTAAGTCATTTTCAGGAGGGGACCTTATATGGGGGGTAGGGTCATTTATGGGCCGATCCTAAACAAAATTGGTTAAAAGGTTTTGGTTCGTAAGAAACATACTTATACCGAATTTCATCGCTATACTCGAATTTTTAGGCTAGTAATGAGTGTTAAAGTCATTTTCTAAAGGGGACCTTATATAGGGGGTAGGGTCATTTATGGGCCGATCCTAAAAAAAATTGGTAGAGAGATTTTGGTTCGTAAGAAACATACATATACCGAATTTCATTGCTATACTTGCATTTTGGGACCAGTAATGAGTGTTAAAGTAATTTTCATAAGGGGACCTTATATGGGAGGTAGGGTCATTTATAGGCCGATCCTCAAAAAATTTTGTAGAAAGATTTTGGCTCACATTAAACTTCTTTATGTCGAATTTCATCGCTATACTCCTACTTATAAAACAGTTATGCCCGTTAAAGCTGTTTTTTGGAGGTCCACTTGTATGGGGGCTATCCGAAAAAGTGGACCGATATTGCCCATTTTCAATATCAAACAAACCTTAACAATAGAGAATATTTATGCAAAATTTCAACTGTCTAGCTCCTCTCGTGTGGTCCCTATCGTGATTTCAACAGACAGACGGACGGACATGGCTAGATCGTCTTAGAATTTAATAAGGACCCGGAATATATATACTTTTATGGGTCTATGACCAATATTTCGATGTGTTACAAACGGAATGACAAAATCAATATACCCCCCACCTTTTTTGATGGTGGGTATAAAAATTAGGAAAAAAGTGGGACACTTCTGTTAAACATAAGGTACTATGTAATCCTAGCTTATTTTAAAAGCCCTGTTTATGAAATTTGCATAGGCATTCCAACACTTCCATAAAATTTCAGCCGTAAATTAATTATTGTAATTGGAATATAATCTTAAGATTGATAAAATTTTATCAAACAGTTATCAATTTTACAAATAAATTTTTTTAATTAATTAGGAAAATCAAAAAAGTTTAACCAAAGGAGCTTTAGAAAAATATACGCTAGTTCCTCGACTCAAATATTTTTAAAATTTAGCTGTATTATTATTTACTTAAAAATTTCATTTAAATAATCTTTGAATACAAAGGAAATAAAAGTACTCGAAACCGGTTTTTAAAAAGTGAAAAAACCGGGTTATTCGATATTCGAAAAATCAACATTAAGAAAAAACCGACACTGGTAAAGCAGAAAAAACCGGTTTTAAAACCGGTTGAAAAATCGAGTCGATCACCCTAGAATATACACAACTTATAACGTACAACATGTACTATTTCATAAATTATGTGTACAAGTTATTTGAATAAAAATATTCGATGTAACAACAAATAATTTAAAAAGTTCATAAATAATTATAGGGTATAAATTGACAGCGATCTTAATATGCATGTAAATAGCTTCTTTTTAACAGTTTAAGGAGGTTTATGGCGATATTTTCGCTAAAAACAGTTGTTCATGTGATCCAAAATCTCCCTACCAAATTTTATGAGGATCGGTCCATAATTGACCCAAGTCCCCATATAAGGCCCCCTTCAGAAAATTGGTTAAACGCTCATTACTGACTTAAAAATACTAGTATAACAATGAAATTTGACATAAGTAAGTCTCTTAAGATCAAAAACTTCTCTACCAAATTTTATGTTGATCGGTCCATAATTAACCCTACCCCCCATATAAGGTCCCTTTCAGAATATGACTTTAACGCTCATTACTGGCTTAAAAATAAAGTATAGTGATGAAATTCGACACACATAAGTTTCAATGAAGCCAAAATCTCTCTATCAAACTTTATGTGGATCGGTCCATAATTGACCCTACTCCCCATCGAAGGAGCCCTTCAAAAAATTAATTAAACGATCATTACTGGCTTAAAAATACAGAATACAGAAAAGCGATGAAGTTCGACACACATATTTTTTATACGAGTTAAAACCTCTCTACCAAATGTATTGAGGATCGGTCCATAAGAAAATTACTTTAACGATCTTTGCTGACTTAAAAATACGTGAACAGTTATGAAATTTTATATAAGAAACATTTATAGGAACGTAAATCTTCCTACCGAATTTCATGCGGAAAGTGTCGGGAAGTGATATTCGATGTAAAGATGTTTTGTATGAACCAAAGTTGGTCACCCTGAAGTTTATAGGGTAGCATTCCTTTTAAGGCATACGGTTTGTTGGTGGGTATATGAGATTCGGCACAGGCGAATATAACACTCTCACTTGTTTATAAAATAAATTCATCTCCTCATTTAGTTACAAGAATATGAACAAGTAAGAGTGCTATATTCGGCTGTGCCGAATCTTATATACCCTTCACCATAGTGTATTTAAAAAATATCAATTTTATAAAATTTAAATTTATTTCATTTTCACGACAATATCATTATTATAGTAATAGCAAAACAAAATAAACAACAACAACGCTAAACGAAATAAACACACTAAATACAGAAGGCAGTAAAACCAACAGACATCCAAACATACGAAACGAAGTACACAAAAAAACAAAAACAAAATACACAACGCAATGAAACCAACAGACATCCAAATATACGAATACACTAAGAAACAAAAACAATATACACAAGACATTGAAACACACAGCCATCCAAACGTACGAAACTGAATACACCAAGAAACAACATACACATGGCAATGAAACACACAGCCATTCAAACATACAAAACGAAATAATCAAAAAAACAAAAACAAAATACACAATGCAATGAATAAGCAGTGTTGTTGTTGCTTATTTTTTATGAAATTTTCAGAGGTTGTCTCGGATTTTTGCTTATATCTCCGTTGTTTATGGACGGATTTTGCTAATTTTAAATAGGAAACTTCTCGAAAACATGTCTGATAGAATTATTGAAGATTTGGATCCCAAAGATATCTGGGGTCTTCAGAAAACTGATTTCAACAGACAGACAGACGGACAGACAGACAGACAGACAGACAGACAGACAGACGGACACGGCTTAATCGACTCCGCTATCTATAAGGATTCAGAATATACATATATACTTTATAGGGTCGGAAAATTATATTTTGGAAATTACAAACGGAATGACAAACTTATTTATACCCTTCTCACGAATGTGAAGGGTATAAAAATAAATTAGTTGTAAAGCCATGCTCCTAATTTTCTTGTACTTTATAATATTTCGAGGTGTGTATATATGGCTCTAATAAATGTTTATTTAGTTCAAATATATAAATATAACATATAATTTCTAATTATTATTAAAAGTATCCGAATAACGGATATTTTGCGCAAAAATAAACATCACTATTGCACATTTTCTTATTTTTACTTATTTTCCTTGTATTTTTTTTTTTTTTTTCTTTTTTTTTGGAATACCCAGCAAAAAAAGAACTTCTAAAGAAGCGAAAAGGAAGTAGAATTAACTCCATAGAAGTACTGAAAATTTTTTAAAAATCATCTTATTGTTGGCTTGAAGAAGGCTCGATATACGATTTTCCTGAATTTTGCTTAAAATTGTTTAATAAACCTAAATTAAGTTTTTATAAATACAGCAGTTAGTCACTAATAAAAAATAAGCTCCATCCAAACAAAATCGGTACTTTTTGGGTACCATTAAAGTACATACTAAATAGATGTGACTAACAACCTTAAATTTTATTATAAACAATAAATTACGTTATATAAAATAATTATTTTATAATTATTATAAGTAAATTAATATATATTTGAAGATATCCGAGTTTAGATGGTGCATATTTTCTTAAATGTTTGAAGTTTTTTTAGTTTGTAAAATAAATGAAATTCAATTTTGTTAAAACATAGTAGTAGATAGTTTAACAGCAATATATTAAGGTTAATTAGAACCGTTTTCCAATTTTGAACTTAAAAATTTTTAAATAAATACATATAAACATTTAAAAAAAGACAACATAAAAGCGTGTTCCAGTTCTCAGATGTTATCTTTAATTTTATAACCAATCGAACATAAACACCTTATTATTTTTTTTCGAAATTAAATTTTTGGGCTAGTTTTTTTTAAATAGGTATGTATTATTAAGTTTAAATCAAATGTAAAAAAAGTACATACGTACATATGTATGTTAGTAAATATCGATTTAAAATTAGGGACAGGGTTAATTTTCACTTTATTTAGAACTATATAAGTACATCGGACACTTCACTTCTTTAAGTTTCATTTTATGAAAAAAGTAAATAATTACAAAAAATTAAATAAATTTTAAATGAATGCAATGAAATAAAAATGTGTATTATTTTAAATAACATTGATTACGGGTTTAAACGAATTAAGCATAATGTACACCTAGTATATATACTTTACTTAGTAGGATTAATTTTGTATTGATGTAGTAATATAAGGAACAAATAAGTTTTCTAATTTTGTTTTATTTGTTTCACCACAATTCTTTAACATCAGTATTGTACTAAATATATTACGAAAAATTTTAGCTTTCTACATTTTTCTTGTACTAAAAATAGATGATTGTTTCATACCTGAAATAACGAAAAAGGCAGAACATGTATAAAATATTCTATAAATAATCAAAATATGTACATACATTAGGGTGGCCCAAAAATGGAAGTTGATGATGTTTCCACCGAAAATGAAAATTTAGGTCATTTTAAGATACCATTTCTATAATTTTTTGTCCTGACATATTAACACGGTGCCGAATAAGCACGTATGTATAAATCATTTGGAAGACAACTATTACAGGGGACGATAAACATTTTACAACACTTTTAAGTTGTATCTTTTCTTTAAATATGATTAGATAGATATAATTAATAGCTGCCTCTGTGCAAAATTTCAGAAACAAAATTCAAGTCACAACCAGTGTGACCATTTTAGCATTTTTGCAGCTAGATTTAGATTTTTTTATTTTGATTTAGCTGTAAAATTTTAATTTAGCATTTGGCATTTTCGCCAATACAAGTGAATACTTTAAAATGTTGTACTCTAAAATATTTTTCTGGAACCCAATGCTTTGTTAATGGAAATAATTTGAGGTGATAGAAATAATTCAAGAGGTTTCATATATTTTTACAAATACGTTCAGTATTTTCAAATATAAGTATATGTAAATAACGCTATTTTACAAACTAATACTTTTTGTTTGTTCATGGAATGAAACACACAATTTTGGAAAAAACTATGTATGATGATTAAATAACAAATTTTATTTTTTTCCTATACGCCAAAATTTTGAAAAAGAGAGGTTTCATCATCCTTCAGGGGTTCTTGTTAATTTATTGAAAATGAGCATTGAAAAAATAAATAATATAAAATTTGGACTTTCTACTTTCTATTCTTTTTATTTTTACAAAATTTTTAGTTAAATTAAAAAATACATAAATTTTGAAAATATTATTCACAATTTAGTCCAGAATTACAAACTTACGGATTTGAATATATCCCTCATAATTCATTTCATACATTCTCATTTACATTTTTTTCGAAAAAATCTTGGAAGTATGAGTTATAAACCTGACATCTATTCACCGAAATTTAAGATTATTTCAACGGAATTTTAAATATTTTTGTAACATGAAAACCATTTTTAGTGTTTTGAGGAAGATAAATAAAATTGTTTATATAAAAAAATAAAACTCGAAATATCAAACTTTTCCTTCCAAAAACCCATATAGGTTTTATATCATGAGCAACTAGTGTAATTCATAGAGTTTTAATGTAATTTTTGCATTCAGAAATATTTTTACATAATTGCTAAATTTAAAAAAAATTAAATAATTTTTAGCATTTCTGTTGTTTTATGTTAATGACACGGAACTTAATTTGTTTACCCTACACCACTATTCTACGTTTGAGTATACTTATCGGCTAAGAATCATTTTCTGAATCGGTTAAGCCATGTAAGTCTGACAGGTTGAAATTTTCCAAACAATTTGATTATGTTTGGCACGTATGCTTTTTTGGTCCAATAACAAAACCTATAAAAATTGGTTGAAGTCCGTCCTTTATTTTACCTAGCCCCCATACATATACAAATATATAAAGCCTTTCTCAGAAGGAACAATTCAACATAAATGCTTTATTATTATATCCCTCATAATTCATTTCATACAATCTCATTTATATTTTTTCGAAAAAATCTTGGAAGTATGAGTTATAAACCTGACATCTATTCACCGAAATTTAAGATTATTTCAACGGAATTTTAAATATTTTTGTGACATGAAAACCATTTTTAGTGTTTTGAGGAAGACAAATAAAATTGTTTATATAAAAAAACTAAAACTCGAAATATCAAACATTTCCTTCCAAAAACCCATATAGGTTTTATATCATGAGCAACTAGTGTAATTCATAGACATTTAATGTAATTTTTGCATTCAGAAATATTTTTACATAATTGCTAAATTAAAAAAAAAAAAATAAAAAATTTAATTAGCGGTTTAGGTGTACTTCGTCGAATTATCTTGTAACTCAAGAAACACCGCATTTTCCTCTAAAGAGAAATTTTGAAATTATATATTTACATCAATAACCTTTTTTATACTTTTTTAATGCTAAAACGTGCATTTTTTCAAACGGCTTATTGATTTTTATATAAGCATCATTGTCAGCTACCGGTTGATGTATAAAGTCCCCAATTTAAATTAGCGGCTTAGGTGTGCTTCATCGATTTATGTTGTGAAAGAAACCCCGCGTATTCAGTCCACGAAAGGCCTTGATTAAATTTTTTTGATGCAAACCAATTCATTCTATATAAAGATTTGTTACTGACAAAATTAAGAATTTAAAATTAGTTTATAATGCGAAAATTCGCTAAAGTAAAAAATGAAAAATTCGCAATTTTTTTGTATTCGTTCTAAGATCTTTGCATGCTAATATTTTATCGCGGCTTTATGATTTCAACATGTAAAATTTAAAAGTATTTCGATCACGCGACATTTTGGGTATATTGAAGTTACGCTGTAAGTGTGCCTCGCGAAAAAGCCCTTTTTTCGAAACTTTCAAGTTTGTTTTCTAATATTTAAGCTTCTCCCGCAGTGATACGTTCTAGAGCACATTTTGGAGATATACATACATCAAACGACGTGTAATTACAATGTCTACTTTTTCTCATTTATACATTTTACATAGCCGAAGAGCAAATATTCTATCCAAAAAACTGCATATTTTGTAAAATTGTATAAATTTGGTTTCAAAACATTGCGACCACGTAATTCTTTACTTATAAATGGCACAACAATTAAATATGAACTATAGTCATTCAACAAGTGTATACAGCTTACATTAGCAAAATTGACTTTCTAAGTTCTAAGCCGCCCTCATAATATCAAAAAGTCTGTCTGTGTAAAGCACGCTCACGTTAAAACTATGTAAAGGAAATCAACCAAATTCACCAGAAATATTTGTTATTATCCTAAACAGTTTGTTACTGAAAAAAAATTGTCAGACTACCTCGAAAAAATGAATTTTTTTCCAATTCTTAGTTTTCTCAGAAACTACCAAAGATATTTGATGAATTTTGTCACACAGTATTTTTTTCAGGGATCAAATGCAAATATAATATGAACAGAAATCATATTACCAACGTAGATTTGTATCGGTTCACAATTGGACATAGCTCCCATATAGGGTCCACTTCCGAAAATTGCCTAAACACACATATTTCATTGATAAATAAATCTATTGTGATAAAATTCGAGTTGAATATGTTTTGTGTACATACAAATCATTCTACGAAATTTTTTTCCGATCGGTCCATTATTGGTCATAGCTCCCATATAAGGCCCACTTCCGAAAATTACTTAAACGCACATATTTCATTATCGAATAAAGCTATCTTAATAAAATGTAACACAATTATGTTTTGTGTACATATGAATCACCCTACGAAATGTTTCCGGATAGGTCCGTAAATGGTCATAGGTCCTATAAAAAGTCCACTTCCCAAAAATTTTTAGTAAAATTCGATTTATTTTTTTTTTTTTTTGCACATAAATCATTATATTTTTTTCTGATCGGTCCATAATTGGTTACAACTCCTATATAAGGACCATTTTCGAAAATTACTAAAATGCACATTGACAATCAAAGTTATCGGGATAAAATTCGATATAAATGAGTATTTTGTATATATAAATACGGATTTTTCCCGGATCGGTCCATAAGTTGCCTTAGCTCCCATATAAGGTTTACTTCTTATGTAGAAATTTACAATAAGTATTAAAATCTTAACCTAAATTATAACTAACGTTGTTATTGCCAATGCAATTTCAACTTGATTATCGGGCAAAATCCAATGTTTCCGTTCTTCTCAGTCATATGACAACAACTCCCTGGCAAGGGGATTCGGGTGATCCATTAGTTTCGACAAGTAGGTTAAACAAGAGAATTTGATCTCCTCGCGTATTATGGGGACATTGAGATCCCTATGAATATTACTATTGCGAATGTACCACGGGGCACCTGTTATTGACCTTAACAGTGCTGACTGCTTTCTTTGTAATTTTTCAACATTAGATGAGGAGGCTGTTCCCCACAGTTGAATGCCGTATAGCCATATCGGTTTTATAACTGTTTTGTACAAAAGCACTTCGTACTCCAATTCTAGAGCTGACCGTGGTCCAATTAGCCAGTACATTTGGGCTGACTTTAATTTTATTTGTGTAACCTTGGCTTCCATGTGGTGAGTCCATGTTAAGCGGCGATCAACGTGGATACCAAGATATCTCACATGGCTTTGTTCAGGAATTTTTATGTTGTTTATCTGTGCGGGAGGACAATTTTCTCGTCTTAAAGTAAATGTAACGTGAGTACATTTTGTTGCGTTGACCATTATTTTCCATTTGTCCAGCCACTTTTCCAATTCGCCGATGTAAAACTGGAGTTTTTCAGAAGCTATTGAAGGGTTATCATGTATGCTTACAAAATCGGTATCATCCGCAAATGTAGATGTGTAAGTCAGTGCGCTCGTTGGCACGGACTTAGAATACTCCCCTGGGGTACTCCAGCAGATATTTTTCGACGTGAAGAGATCACATATTTTGATCTGATTTGACAAGATCTTTCATATATGTAATTTTTAAAAGGGCCCTTCAGACGATCACACAAGTCTAATGAAAAAGTAAAATGAAATTCTATCCGTATGATTTATATTTTTCGTGTTTACACGATTGGTGTAAAACAGTAACAAAGTAAGATGGAAACGGCTCTTTCACTTTTTTTGTATGTGTTTACATTAAAATACATCCCTGATCTAATGCGACTTGCTTGTTTTTTTAATCATTTCAAAAAATGAAGAGAGCCATACGACTGTCAAATTCCATCTGTAATCAAAAATATAAAACAAGAATTTATT